TGTATTTAAATATTGGTAATAACCTGCGCATTCGCCATATTGCCATAAAATACGGAATGGCAGTTCTGATATTTTGGAACACGAAATTACTTCGTTCATTTAAGTAGAGCATTTAGGTTGTCCAGGACACGAAATTTCTTCCTTGTCCTAACCTAACTGATCAAACGTAATGTAGTTTAATCCATACCTAATCTCATCTAATCCATTTTAAGAATTTTTCAAGGTAAGCTAGACGTGACAAAGTTTTGTGAGCAAATATACGGGGATTTTAATCGACCTGGAATTGACTGGCTGGCCGGTTATAACTCGTTGACGAGAACTGTAACCAGCCTGAAAGCCTCGAGCTTGTTTGAATTTATTTATTTCAATCGGTTTGAACAGCATAATTTCATACACAATTCGGCGGGAAATATACTAGATGTTGTATTAATGTCTGCTCCAATCAATTATATTTGTCAACCACTCACCCCCTAAGACGTGTTGACCATTTCTATCCACCTTTGTTGTGCCATTCTGTTATCTGCTGCGACAACGGGCCCTATGCAGCTATGAATACTTCTTGTACATCAAAGGCGAATACTTCGATATATATAAGTAATTCCAGTGCCATGACTGGAAACCGATCCTGAGTGATAAGTGCGTTGATTCAGCTGCTGAGGCTCTTGCAGAAATAGTCTCGAGCTCGATAAATAACTTGGGGTCTATACGTGTTTCTGGACTAAAAAAGACCCCTTCTTGGTTTCCAAAGGAACTGAGATGTTGCTTGCAACGCAAGCTTCATTATCATCGTCTTTTTTAAAAAAAATCGTGATTAGACAAGGGGTACGACAAATTTAGTGAGTGCCGAGCTTTGGCAAGATAGCTTTTTCAAGAAGACAAAAAAAAAGCCGAGTAGTAGCGTGGTTGCGATGCGGAATAGCTCTGGTTATTTATACTTTTGATTCAAGTGAAATTGCCAACATGTTTGCTCAGCAGTTTAAGTCATGTTTTTCTATCAGCATCAGTTCCTGACGGTAGCACTACGCGTCATGGCATAGTTGATTTTCTTTTCTTTTGTCCCAAATGACGAACCTAAAATTGAGGAAAGCATTCGTAATTTTAAATCAAAGCTGTCTGCTGGTGCAGATGGAATCCCCCGTTTTTTTTGTGAAAGGGTGTGCTGAACTGCTGACTCCTGTCTTACTACAAATATTTAAATTAACGTTAAATTTAGGAATATTTCCTTCCATATGGAGACGCTCTGTTTTTCTTCCAATTCAGAAAGCAGGGGACCTTAGCATTGCAAACAACTATCGTCCCGTTTCATTACTGCGTAGTCGTTCCAAAGTTTTTGAAATGATAATGCATAAACGTCTGTACAGCTACTTTAGACATAAAATGAAACCAGAGCAACAAGGATTCCTGAAGGGCGAGTCAGTTGAAACTATTTTATACCCTTTTTTAGTATATATGTCGTTTCGTTGGTTCACGACCGTGAGCAAGTAGACGTAATATACTTTGATATGACGAAGGCATTCTACAAGGGTAATCACAATACACATCTGATTAAACTCTATAGGTATGGTCTGTGCTTGACTTACTGCCATTGGTTCCAAAGTTTTGTTTCATGCCGTACAAATTATGTTCGTGTGTCAGGATTCGGATCCGGTTATTTTTATCGCCTTCCAGAGTACGCCAAGGAATTAACCTGGGTCCACTATTATGTTTGACATTCGTGAATGGAATTTTGATTTGTGTGAAAAATTATAAAATGTTCTTGCTTGCGGATGACCTCAAGCTGTTTCGACGTGTACAATCTCACTCCGATTGCGTGCGTCTTCAGGAGGACGCATTGGAAATTTCAAAGTGATGTTCACAGCTTTATCTTTTGCTGAATGAACAAAAAAAACAAAAACAATATATCTCACTAGAAGCGCGCTTCACTTGTATTCCTTTACACGTTAGGTGGCAGTGCTATCATCGAAGTTTCCGTCATTCGGGATCATGAAAAATCCTTTTATTCATCCTTAAATTCCAATTATCATGTTTAACTATCTGTACCGCCTCTTTTAGAGACCTTGGGGTGATATATCGTTTCACGATAAAAGTTTTTGCCCCTGTCTGCCTTGTGCGTTTAATTTGTTCCCTAGTGCGCACGACGCTCGTGTATTCTTCTTCTGTATGAAATGGTATTGATCTCACTGCATCGTGCTCTATTGAGCCTGTCCAAAAAACGCTTCATACTCATAATTTACGACAGGTATTTTGACCGCATTTGTTACTACAACTATTACAAATTACTTTAAAAAATTTGGTTGTATACTTTGCGTGGTAGAAGACGATAACGTGATTTTATGTTTTTACATACCGTTGTGAGCGGTGCTGTTGATTTACCACTTTTGTGAAGCACTGTTTGTTTTGATGCTCCCTTGCGGTTCAATCCACTTCAGAATCTTTAATTACCTCGTATAAAGTTTTGTGTTCTCGGCTGTTTGGCCTATTTTTATGTGCAGACATTTGTCTAGTTTTTGGCTATATCTCATAAACATTTGGCGGCATATTCTGCGAGTACCTGGCAACCCTGCGAATTGTCATTCTATGCCAGTTCGACCCAGCCAGGACGGTGCTTCGCGCCGTTCGGGAGCTGCGGTTAATGTCGGATAAACGCACACGAATACCACCGCGCCACTCGACAAGAAAGATTTTTGTGGCGTCGATACCCGATATTCTCTCACCTAGTTGCGCCATGGCCTTCCTTCCTCCGACATTGTGACGTAACCACTCGGAGCGCTACAGCCTTCTTTTCTAGGAGGTGTCGAGTAACGTCACGAGGTGGGGGGCAGGGAGGGGAAGGACGAGGGGAGGGAGAGGAGAGGATAATGAGAGGAGGAGGGAGGAGGATAGAGGAGGGGGAGAGGGGGGGAGTAGGAAAGGAAGAGGGAGGAGGAGGGGAGGAGGAGGAAGGGCATACCCTCCTCTCCGTACCCTCCCTCCTCATTCTCAAGAGCTGTGCTCTAATTCGGCATTGCAGGGAGTCGTAAACGTCTTTAATTTTTTTTTCTTTTTAAGCCTACCTCGGCTTAAAAAGGGGGAGTATTGAAACCACGTAGTTCCCCGCATCTCTATATAGGCCTAGCTTAGGCACACCATGGGGTTTCGACATGTCGAGGCGTGGATGCGAGGCGAGGACGTATTCCCTTCTGGGCGGCTCTCTGTCTGCCATTTAGGGTGATTTTCCAAAGGCACACCATTCGGGACATTGATACTGGGACGCGTCCGCCCTGCTGGGGAGGAAACCTGCTTCCGATAACCCCGGGCGCGTCCGTTTCCGCAGATTATATAAGACGGCCTTAAACAACCGCAAAGGGCGACTCTCGCTTGGGGTGGCTCTGCTCGACGGAACCCTGCTTGCTTGTCCTGGCCTTTGCTCTTCCGTGATACTATATAGAAGCAGCGCGAAGCCCGAGTGGTGATACTGTCAATAGAGACAGCGCCGTTATCTTCGACTTTGTTGGCCCTCGAGTAAACCTGTTGGAGTATTCTTCAATAAAACACGTCATTATACAGCCCCGATGAACCTACTGTTTTCTTTTTTTTTTTCCACCAAAAAGGGGAACTCACAATGGTTGTAAATATATATAATTTTAATAGAAGCGTAGGCAGCTAGCTGGAAGTTAGTCTTCGGTAGTAAGGCTACTTGGTACATTCCTGCGTATGAGCAGTTTGGCTGTGGAGTGACACCTCAATCTAGGAATTTGGAATGATGGACTCAGATCTGGATTTTAATGCAAATGTTTTGGCGACTATTCTTACCTAATTTTGATTGAACACTTAAATAATATTAATTTCTCTAGCAAACTGAGCTAAAAGGAGAAACCAGATCGTTGTAAATATAAGTAAAATATAAATAAAGGGCTATGGAGTCAAAAATGCGCTTCTTAAGAAAACATGGTTTTAGGTTCACGTGCTACAAAATATTTATTTTTTTATTTTTTGCAGTGATTTTTTTGGTTTCGAAATTCTCCCCACGGCTGGAGGGAAACATGCTGCACTTGTGAATCGGTTCATCATGCCATTAAACGCAGCGGAACGGAAATGTGAAGAAGTAACAAAATACGGATTCTGTCTGCCCTTGCTCACTGTTTCCACGTGCGGGGTCATAGGCTGCTTGAATTGATTGGTTCTACCATCGCATGTCCTGATAATGAAAATAAATCAAACGCACCATGATAGCAGAGAAGACGTATACAATTATTTTGTTGCTTTTCTTACGAACTCTGTTTAGTATATATTACGGACTGTTTTAGAGCCCCATCATTCGTGTGCAGGTACACTTGAGAGCTTGTCGCAGGTTCGGTGGCCAACGAGAGGTAAGAAATTTTAGTATGTTGGTCATTCGAGCAGCACGCTGATAAGATGTGCCGAGTATGTTGGCACAACTAGTTTTTACAATCATCTCAGAATACTTGGCGCGAAAAAAGGATTAATCTCAAGTCAAGACCGTTTTTTTTTTTTGTTACTCAAATTATCAGCAGGGTATCGTGGATACATACGAGGCAACGTTTCGTAGATTTCATTCTTTGCATTAAGGCTGCTGTAACTATATGTTCCTAATATTCTGCGCCCAGCTTCCTTTGGCGAATTGTAGGTATTTCTAAATAGAATAAACATCGAAGTTTCTTTTTAAAATTTTCTTCTTCTAAAAACCACTCGCTTTTGAGGACGTTAAATGAAACAATCAGATTTAATAGAATTAAAATTGATTATTTTTAAAACAGATGAATTCGAGATTTTAGGTATATCCTTAGAAAACCTGCAGATAACAGATCAATTAATTTCCATAGAAAGCATGTCACGTATAACATGATTGCCACACATATAGGACATGCCCAATACTGGTGCTTTTTGTCCGGTTTATATATTCAGTGTAGCCCTTTATAGACATTTAACGCATGTAGATTCCTAGAAAACTCTCTTCCAGCTTTCTTTGACGGCTTTTTGTTTTCTTTTTTCAGAACAACAACAGCCATGCACACGATGAAGCCAGTCATGCTGATGATGGTATTTTGTTCGTCGCTTCTCTTCACTTGCAACTGCAGCAACGTCAATAACCCAACAAAAGATTTCTTTAAAGTATGTTCTTTCACTACCATACGCTTGATGCTTTTTTTTTTAATGCGCAATGGGTTATTTTGAACTCTTGTGGCTGTGGGAATTATCACCGCGACAGACAGATCTGACCGAGCTAGGCCCCAAGTGTGAGGGCCAAAATGTCTGAGTAAATTAAACTTGATGCGCCCTAGAGGGCATTCAGGGGATTTCAGAATCACATATCTAAATTACGCCTTGCAGAACATTGACATTTAAATATAAGGGGCACCAAACGTTAAAGGCGGGATATGAACGTTTCAGCCCAATAAGTTACCTGATTAAATATTCGGATGAAATTCTTCCATCGGCTAGTCACAAGAATACGCAGACGACGTTAGATGACAATTCCGTACAGCAAGACACACTGAAACGTCATTGCATTAAACTGGAAGCTAGTACAATCTTCGAGCCGCCCTACGAAATATCCAGCTCTGACATTTTATTTTCAGAGATGCCGCTTCCCCTAGACTCAGTCTCAGAACATTACTCACAGTGTTTGCTTTACGCTTGGTATCGGATAAAACGTATCGCATACTGGCTTTACTGTTGTATTCATTTTGATGTTATTTCTTCGTTCTGCAAATATTGTTTGCTATATCTGCTGGTTGAACCCCCTGATCCCCTTTTCGTGGAGTGCCTGCGCAGTAAACATAGTCTAAACTGAAGCATACTCGTGACGAGCACTCAGAAGTAAACACAAACCTTTTGGGTGTTCCAGTTTTAGTATTCATACATTTTTTTATTAAAAAATATGTCAGTGTCAGAAATGCACTAGACTGAGTGACTGTCAGCAAGCGATAAGCCACTAAATTTAACATGTAATGTACTGTTATTGATGCTACTGTGCCTACGCAGCTTTTTTCTGCAGCGCGGTGAGGTAATTTTGTAAATATACAATATTCAGAAGTGGTATTGATACGAGCTTGTTAAGTCAAATGTGCAACTGACTTAAAAATGTAACGATATACAACTAAAGTATTCAAGAAACGTATTCTTGTGCTCTCTAACTCTTGAACTTTTAAATGTATGTGTACAAACTCTGCGGCTTACCTCTGTCGAAAGATACCGCTTTCTTTAAAACGCTCCAAAGGAATACTATATTCAACAATTTCAGTAAATATAGTTAATATCCGGGGTTTATAAAATATCACCTTCAGCAGACCGTTTTTATCTTGTGATTCTGAAGACTCATTTTGAATAATCTAAATTTAAACTCACATTGCTCCTTTTGAATAAGCGCAAAGCAGCTTATAAAGTCATCTCTCTCTATTCCAAAATCGGAACTTAATGTTAAGAGGGCAGGGCAGCAAACATTGTGCTTTTAGCAAACGCCACTTCGAATTAGCCTATAACGTACATAACCCAAGAAGTCTGTATAACTTTCTTACTCCACGCAATGGCAGTCACAGAAAATTAGAACAAGCAGCGTTATCTTCCTTAAAACGCATCCAGAACAAGTGGCTACGTGAACTGGAGCTTCATATATGGTGCCAATGTTCGACATAGCGTCCTGTTAAGGTTGCGAAAAGAGATAATTAGTAATGAGCTACTGATAGTGTTAGAACTTAGTTATCCCCGTCACCACAGTGATTAGGCCCAATCCACTGTTCAAAATTTCGTCTAGGCATTGATTGTCACGAATCTATTTTGAGTGATCATGGAGTGTTCGGGTCCAATTCATTCTACTATTGTCACAAAGATGTAATTACCTTGATGACGCCTCTACTATCACTCTGCTACTACGTCATAAATATTTGTGAAAGAAATTCTAAAAATAGCCCGCGTTAGTGGTGTTAAGGGAAAGTATACTTGGATTACAGTAGTGCCTGTAAGCTTTTGTGAAGTACGATGCATACAGTAAGTTAAAACACTTATAGAAAAGGGTCGAACGGGGACAGTCAGTGTTTTGTTTGAGATGCGCTGCCTGTCTTCTTTTTTCTCTCTCTTCCCTTTTAGCTCCTTTTCGCCCCAGACTCAGTGCTTACCATCGTGTTACGTTACTGTGTTGTCTTGTATCGGCATGCCATAGCCATTAGAAAATAATGCAATCAGCGAATAGGTTATAAATAAACACGTTTCCCCGGTATAAACTGGGTCGATGGTACTGTTGTTTCTACGTGTAGTAACCCTTTAGAGTGTCTGGAATTTATAAGCCTTCTTTCCGCATTTGGACTTCCTAAGAAATTTGCTGACTCAACTTGTGGCGATTCAACATTAGACTTGCTTCTTACAACCCATTTTAAACATATCTCTTCGATGCATTTCTTATCAAAGATGAGTGGTCATGCCCTCATAACAATCACTCTTTCGGTAAAAATCCCAGAAAGGCAAAAGTTCTCGAAAACAATCTGGGATTACCCATAGGCACGTTTAGAAGCTCTGAATTCTTCTCTCATCCAGACATCCGCAGGTTTTGAAAACTCTTTCAATGATCTTCCAGTAGAGGCTAATTGAATTGTTTTCAAGAACGTACTGCTTAGCTCCGCGAATCAGTTTATTCCTAAAAAATAATTACCTCCTTGGTTCTCATTGCAAGTAAAGCGAATTTTAATAAATAGAAATGTTTATACCGTATCAATTCAAAACGAGCGTGTTGGTTAATAGATACAAAACTTGAAAGTATAAAACAGAGAGGACGAGGACGGCAACAGGACACCTTTGAAAGATGTCCTGTTCCCGTCCTCGTCCTTTCTGCTTTATACTTTCAAGTTTTGTATTTATACCGTAGGGCTAAACCTAAACACAAACGACATATGACTTGAATTTCAATTGTAGTCCAAAGAATGCAAAAGTGAAATTCAGTTAGCAAATCGAAGGTTTTTCAACGATGATATCCGGAAAATACTAACTAAAAACCCCCAAAGGTTTTGGTTTATTATCAATTTTACTCCTCGCGGTGCCACCCTACCTCTACCAACCCGCAGCATTACTCATTATCATCTGCAGCGACTGCCTCTGATTCCACGCGTATTTCGGTGACATCTATTACGCCCGAAACCTTCCCATTGCCTTTCGTGCCTACTTTTGAACTCCCAACGGACATGCATGATGTTTACCTCTCTGTAGTCGGTATTTTGAATGTTATTGATCGCCTTCCCCTAAACTCTTCTCTTGATTGTGATGAAATTAACTCCAGACAATTAAAAAGGACGAACAATACATCCGCTAAATTTCTGCTTCTCATCTGTGAACCATCTGTAGCCCTTTCTCAACTGCCATATGATTAGGTTAATGCGGACGTGCTACTTATCTTCGGATCAGGCAATCCAAATGAGCTAACTAATTACAAGCCTATCGCTTTGACTGGTGTATTACACAAAATATTAGAGCATATTATTTTCAGCAAATTATTGCCACATTTGGATAATAACAACTTGTTGCTCCCTAATCAGCATAGATTCCGTAAAAACCTATCTTGTGTTGCTCAACTATTCGAACTCAAGTACGATCTTCATAGTAACATGCACTTTCAATAACTTCGGATGAAATATTTATAAACTTTTCAAAAGTGTTTGACCGTGTTCCGCGTACCAGATTAATATCCAAACTTTCCCATTTAAACGGGAATAATAATATTGTCTCCTGGATTAGGGTTTTCTTGTCTAATCGCATGACCGTCGATAACGCCACTTCCTGTTCCTTGGACGTCATCTCTGGCGTCTCTCAGTGTTCGATTCTTGGCCTTCTTTTTCTAGATTATTTAAACGACTGCTTCTTCTTTATCTTTTTTCGTAAGACTGAAGCTGATGACCTTGTGCTCTATCGAAAAGTTTGTTCCAACGAGGATTGTCCAATCTTACAAGAGCATCAGGAAAACCAACTTGGTGCTACTATTGTCCCATGACGATTAACCAGGATAAACATAAAATAACATAATTTACAAATCGATAAATAAAGTATGTTTTTTATGTACTATTTTTTCTCGCGAGTTCGAACGGGCGGCCACATTTAAATACTTAAGAGTGTACCTCGATCAAGATCAATCACGGAAGCGTCACGTTAACTACATCTGCTCTAAAGCTAACAAAACATTAGGATATTTAAGAAAGCACCTCTACCTCACCGACTCATATATCAAGCGTTTAACCTTTACTACGTTAGAACGGACTAACTCAAAATACGCATCTATCACATGGAACTCTTATCAAATATACCTTATTAACCAACCCGAAGCTCTTCGAAACCGTGCGGCCCGTTTCATTACTCGCGATTTTTCTCGGAATAGCGTTTCTCCTTTAAAAGAATTCATATCTCTACAAACTCTCGACACTCCCAAAAAACTTAACCGGTTCTCTGTTGTGTAGAAACTTTTTTATAACCCACGGTGACCCAGCACGTTCATTTCCGCGGTCCATTATATTTACTCCTGCCTGTATCATCCTTGTAAAATTGGAGCCATTCTTTCTAGAACTAACGCTTACAAATATACTCACCTCTCCCACTATGCATTTCTGGTTGGAACAGTCTGCGCTCTAGCTTGGCGATAGCAAGTGGCTAAAAATTTTTACGCAAGGTGTTTTTGTTTTTTTTTGTTTTTCAGTTCGTTTCAGAATGTCTGTATACAAATGTTTTTTTCATGTACTCCTTTGATTTCCCCCACTTTTATCATTAAACATGTGAGTTTGATGTACACGCCTTATGTAATACCTCTTCTACAGGCCTTTAAGGTAATAAAATGAAATGAAATGATATGAAACTTAACACTGATTTAGTATTCAAAAGCCTGACTTCTTCAATAGCTATCTCTGTAAACTTAACTGTTCCATATCGGCCTACATTTATTGAATGCACATGCACTGTTCCGAATGTATGACACGTTTGACTAAGAAATGACTTGTGTTGTCTCAATATGCTAAGATTAAATACTCCTGAGTGACTTATACGTGCATTAGTGCATATTTCATTCTAGGGCTTCACGGAATATTTCTTTGTGAGATTTTTGTAATGAAAATAGATCACCTTTAGATTATTGTATTTTACATAGTGATACTGATAACCAGCGTGACGGAAAAATGAAATTTAAATATTAGGTGCTGAATTATTTTCCGGCTTTTACTACGGGAGCAAAATATTTAAATCATTTTGTATGTATACAATTACTGTTATGGTTAAACTTTTGTGAAATATAAGGAGAACTTCACGGGGGACTCCACTTTTGCGTAGCATGGTTGCTTTGATATTGTTATTGAAAGTTGTTTCATTATTTCTAGTTTGTTTAACATGTGTATGGTGACAAAGTACTAAGCGTTTTTGTAATCTTGTACTGGACAATGGTTACAAGTTATTTACAGAGCTTTCAAATATGACGCATTTGTTTTCTTAAAACAAAAGTCGCGTTCAACCGTCTGGTAAACATCGTTGTGATGCAACGCATGTATAGTGTGATCAAATTATAACTCGTCGGTTGATCTGATTAATTCAAAGGATATGGAAGAGAGACCAATCCTGCTGTACCAGTGCTACCACAGCGGATTCAGCATTGATCCACCAGGATCTACTAACTTTACTATTCTGTTTGACGGCACAAATCCAAGCACAACAAGCATTGTTGGTACCACGTGGTCTGCGACGAAGGGAACTCCGAACTCTTACGTCATGTGGGTATATTTGAATTTCTACTTAAAATAATGATAACCGAAGAGCGTTAGAAACGCAGTTATTTTTACGAATTGTACTTTGAAGTGTAAGTTTTTTCAATTTTAGAACTCCTTAGGCTGCACAAAGCAAAATAATTACATCACATATGAAACACGGAGTCCCACTTCTTAGTTTTTAATAAAAAAAAAACAAAAAAACACTCCTGGCAGGCCGGAAAATTGTGTTCATAAAACCTGCAATATCGAATATAAAGTTTATACAAAAAGGTGAGGTAGTTGAGATTACCGGAGACGCAGAGACGACAAGAAAGGGACCAAGATACGCGTCTCGAACGCAACTGAATCTATTTTATTGACACGCCGTGCCTTGGACATCACTTTCTCTCATAACCCTCGACGGTTTTGTACTTTCTTTTTGCGACCACATCACGCGCTCTATATCACAACGAACGGTAATATACCCACACTAATGTTACGAAAGAAAGGTAAGGGACAAGTCAACTTGGATTACAAGAGCAACCAACCTCAAGACCCTAAGCACTTACGAATGCAAACAAAGATTCCACGCGAAATCAAATTGTACAAACGATTCCTACCCCATCGAAAAAACCACAGTATAACTTTTCACCACCTGGATTATGAAACTGAAATTTAACTGTAGTTATTTCTAGAAACCTGAAGTCCAGAATGTAGAGAAAGGAATAATTTCGGAAAACCTGAAATTCTGATAAAATGCAGACAGCTTTCCATTTCCATAATCGGGATAGCGAAACGTTATATGGTGTTTTTCGGTAGGGTATATACCTTTCCAACATTTATCACCAAGGCGAAAATTGCTGAGTCACCGGGCCGTGGAAACATGCGTGGTGTCTGATATTTCGTAGAGAGAGCTAGTGCACATGCTCAGATGGCGTTGCACATCCCTGTAGACAGAGATGGCAGCGAACAAAGGGCGATTATTGGAAAGGTCTATAGCAGTGTACATGATGGTTACAAACTATAAGTACTTTTGTCCCAAAATCTGGGAACGACTCCAGCTTGTTTGAAAAGTGCCTAGAAGATACCCGTACTAAACACGAGTTGTTGTTGGCTACGCTTCATAAAATGAAAATAGTTATAAACGTGTCGCTCTGATCGTTGCCGATAGCGAGCTCTATAATTTGTTCACCAGTAAACTAATCGCGCAATGAAGGCTGAGATAATGGTAGCTAACAATATACACAATGTATGACATTGTAATCAGTACCTCCATATTATTTTTGTATTTACAGTGGTTCTCTTCAGGCCTATTATGATCCAACTACCGATCAAGCTGTGCTCACTACATCATGTAAGTAATTTATATGTAAATAATTTCAAGCACTTAACAAGTGCTTAGAGACACGACCTGGAATTGGCTTCAGTTATTGTTTTAATCGCTCTATGCCCTTTAACAAGATTTAGATAAAACTATATTGTTAATAATAATAAAGCTTTATTTTATGACGAAGATTCGGGATGGTAAAGCATTTATACGTTTCATGCCTTTATGTTTCTCGCAAAAATTAATGTTTAAGATTATCTGGTCACACAGCATCTCTTAGTGCATACAATCAGCATTTAAGATTGCTTACTCTCGTCACTGTGCTAAAGCAACACATCAAATATTTAACGAATGTTTAAATCATCAGCACGTTTCCCCGAATATGAGCACTACCATATTTAGTAAGAAAATTACGAATTGAACTTAATTACTGGGAGCTACTGAAAAAATGCATTCCAACAAAAATGCAGCTCTCTACGCGCAGGCGCCAATTTTTTCCGACTGATTTTACAGCCGGTCGATATTGTAGATTTTACGCCATATTTTTCTGCAAGTTTGTCTTAGAGACACAAAGCTCAACTTTGCAACAGACCTCTAAATGTAACGGAACTTCTCTATGGGCCACGTGTTTGGTGCCTTAATGAGTCACCTGCTCCTGTGGCTGGTGCCACCACGAGTCACGTCATCACGTAATGTTCATCAGGCTACACCAGTTCACAAGATGTCAATGTGTCACGTGACTCACCGTACAAAGTGAAGGTCTCGCGTGACTTCACGGTGTTAACAACGTAATTGCGTCTAAGAACGTTTGCTGTCAAATCGTGGTGTAAAGTGAGATCACGTGATGTGGCCACGTCGTGTGATGTCAGACGACGTGATGTGTGTCACGTGAAGCCCCGATTTCGCAGCCTGAGTTTAGGTGCCACCGTGACGTGACGTGTTCATGCTATCTTGAATTGTGTATACATCGCCGACGCGTCCGCATCACATGCGTTTGGGTGATAGATCAAAGCGCATTTTCTTGAGTAAAAAACTGTTTAGCCCACGTCTGCGTTTTAGTAATACCTACAGTTCCAAGTGCATTTAATGGTTTATACATTGACAATAGTACGAACAATATTTTAAAAAGAGGGAGAGTTAGGCGAGTGCCGTCTTCTCCACAAATGTTAAGGTTCTTTTTAATGCTATCGCATTTCAAACAATTAATTTGTTTTATAATTTATTGATCTTTTGCGCGTTCCACCATTCCTCTAAACACGTAATTTCTTTGCAAAGCTTGGTTTACAAAAATAAAATGCAGGGCGATTTATTGCTGGACTCTTAGGAAATGTGTTAGCATGACGCTTTGAAACGCCAAACACGTCCACTTTTGGGAGATGCTGACGCTGACACCGTCACCTCTTTATTTTGGTTTTCTCATTTGGGTTTCTGTTTTGCTTCCTATATTTTTGCTTTCTCTTTTTGTGTTTTTTTACGGGGTCAGTACGAGTACACGAAAGGATAAAACATCCAAGACGGGGACGGAAACAAGGCCCCCATCCTCGATATTTTATCCTTTCATGTATTCGTATCTATGACGCAACACGCTCTTTAAAAAAGATTTTAAAAAATTGGGTCGCGTGTATGTTTATACAGCCTAGAACTTGGTCTGCCTCAACGGGCGACAAGTCTCTTAGCTGTAGATGAGAAATTTAGCCAGAGGGGAATTGAACCCAGGATCCCGGTTTCTGCAGCGCGAACTTTCGCTCCACGTGCTGCTTGAGCTGGTGTGCGATAGCCCACTCGGCCACCGATCCTTTTTTTTTTTCTTTATTGCGCTCGGCCACCGATCCCCACAGGCTCTTTTGCAATTATCACAGGGTCAGCATTAGCTTTTCCCAAAGTGAGACGTGTGTGGTGTTTCCCAAGGATCATGCTAATGCATTCCCTAATAATCCATCAATGAATCCTCCTGTAATGTGTTTCGCTCCTTTTCTGTACTCTGCCTGTCAAAGTGCGTCAACACCTTTGGATGTTGTCATCCATAGCACTCGTGGAAGGAACTGCACCCATCGCTTTAACTACACACACATACCACTGCCCAAGTACCGTACTATGAAAACCCAGAGCGAAGAACAACCGGCGACGGCAGCGCGGCAACTGAACATGCTTGCATTCCACTGCGCCGCGGCGCAACACCTCCTTGATAACAAAGCCGTAATGGTGAATGAGATGACGTCATCAGAGAAGGCCAACGCAGGGCACAGATTGGGCACGACGACCGCGCTAACGTTCGCCTCAAACTTGACTCAAGCCGAGCGCCCTGACGCAGCACTCGTTTCCTTCCCTGATGACGCTATCTCATTCAGCACTGCGGCTTTGTTATCTACGAGGTGTTGCGCGGGCGGCACCTCCTCTTCTCTGTCTGCGCGCCGCTTGTTCGCGTGACATTAACGATAACGAAAGGGCTCGTTCTGAGCAAAACCCGGCGCTGTACTTCAGTTTGTCAGCGCCGGGGAGAGAGAGAGAGAGTTTGACGCATGCTGACGTCGGCTCTTTAGACATTTGGGAGCCTGGTAAGCGTCACCCACTCTCCCCAGCCCAGACAAACGAAAGACGCCGCGGGGTATTCGTCCAAATGAGCGTTGAAATGATAATGCATTATAAAATGTCCTGAATCTACTTTGTTCGAGGTTTTTTTTAGAAACACAAAATGTAAAAATGAAATCGCTGCGCAATCGCAATATCAAATCTTGCAGACTATATCTGCAAGTTAATAAGTGGTGGATTATATTTTTTTCAAAAGCCTCCTGCCCTTCGCTATTGGATGCTTGATCATATAGAAAACACAACTTCTTAAAAAATAATGAATATCTTTTTATTCCTACAGCTAATGTACGGAGAAAATTTAAACATAAAGTGCGATTCGCGTATCAAAATAATTTATACAAGAACATGACACAATAATGAAGTTTTGACTTATGGAAGCTCAAGAAACTTCAAGGTTGCACAAACGACAGTGTGTTTCTTGTTTTTCAATAACATGTATTTCTGAATACAGCCTTTGAGGAATACATTACTGTTCTGGATCCATTCGTGGGCAAGACTCTCTACATCAAAATCGGTAAAGTTCCGACAAGCCTCTTTATCACGCGAAATAATAAACGTCACATAAGGAGAGCTATTATCCTGAGAGTATAATTTGTAATATTACATATCTGATGCGTTTTGAAATTATTAAAAGTGTTTGAAGAAACAATGTTTTGAATTTATAAGATTGGTGATTCTATAAGATTGGTGATCGGGCTTGCCGCATCTCAGGCTAACTACCATATGGGCACTCAGCCTATGGTCCCACGCATGACATCTTAAATTGATCAATAGTGGGAGACTTTAAACCTTGAACGATGGTTCAAGAATAGTTAAACAATGTAAGTAAGCGAGATGTCTTGCACTATAAACAACATTTCTCAGGTTGTAATGCCGAGAAGTCGTCCATTCTTTATTTAAGCGCCCAAAGTTTCGGATATTACACCATGTTGGAAGCTATACTCTGGCATGACTTCACATATATTTCTCGACTAATGCGTCAACTATCTTCAGAAACCAATTGCATGAGGACGATGATGTTCTAACTTGTAATATGGAATTCATAGTCCTAACTAAGCCTAACAAAACGACTCTGTTCTGTCGGTCCACTTGTTCAAATCTTTACGATTATATGTTCTAAAGGGCCCTTACTTAGTCAGGAACAAGTAGTTTTCGGAAAGCTTTTGTTAGTATTGAACAGCATGTATAATCTCAAAATATTTCCTCCTGAGAAAAATTATAAAACCTTTTCATTTTTAATAATTACTTTTATGTTTCCTCTTCAATATCATTGTTTTCATTTAGGACTTCTGGAAACACTGGATAAATACTGTGTAGGATTAAGTGCAGAAAGTCAATTTTACACTAGCCTGTACCAAAGTTAGGAGCTGGGCTAGTTGGTGCAGGAAGAAAGGGGGGAGGGGGGGGGGAAGCACGAGGCGCGTGAATGACCGGTGCCCTATATGATGTGGCAGAAAGGTTGGCGCATGTGTAGATTGCTGCATTGCGTGTTTACTTTTTATGTTTTCTGTAATAAAGCCTTCAGTTGCGAGTCAGTGCCTGTCCCGCCCAGTTTGTTCCTTCCTACAAGTCTTTGTCGTTCTGCGCTGTTCTGCCTACATTATGTTTACACTAGCATGCATTTCTTCTATATTGCAGAAGAAGTCACCAACAAAGACACTGTGGTCTACAAAATATATGATACCGATTTTAAATGCAAGAATGCAAAGAAACTCTTGAAAGAAGTGTGTCCAGACCCTTGCGACATGGAGCTGACCCGAGAAATTTCCAACAATTGAAACTAGAATCAGTCGGAAAAAATTTGCCTGGTACTCCTCTGCATTTTTATTCCAGAAATTAGGACGATATCCTGCATCTAGCCTAGAAACCTTCAATGTACACTAGACGCCTGATGCACCTTATTCCACTTGCACCCGTTTTCTTTAATAAAATATATCTTAATGAAAACTGGCAAGCCTCGACCCTACTATCAATTGCATATTCTCCAAATGTTTTGGGAATATTTTTTCTCTGCCTTCAAATTAACTGTCAACCATAAGAAAGATTGAAGCACTGAGCGCCGCAAACACGGGCAGATGACTACCTAATTATCAGTTAAAAGAATAAGATACCAACTGCATCAGCATCTGATGCAGATGACGCAGATGACGCAAATGACGCACTCCGAGTTCCTCGAGCCATCTTAATATTTCGTGTTGTTTTGTTTCCGTAAGAATATAGTTATTATTTAATACCTGATCGTACGTCACATCGCAAATACAACTGGCGGGAATTCAATTTTAAAATCAAGGACCCCTAAAAAACGAATTTTCCTAAGCACTTCTTTCCATGGGATGCGGAATGATTTGATTTTTTTTTTCTTCTATGAGGTCCAAAAAAGAACGATATTTTAAACTGCAAACTGAGTCTAGTCACGCCACTCCAGGTATCCCACCAGAGAAACGTCTAACTTGGCAACAAGCTTAACATTACAATGGGCTTAACTTGGGCTTAAAAGTGTTTTGCTTCAAAACGTTTGTCAGTGCCAGAGTACTTTTCTTTTTTGTTTTATGCGTTAGAATTAGAACGCTCGTTTTGACGAAAACCCGGCGGTCTTTTTTTTTTAGAGCGCCAGGGAGAAAGGGAGAACAAAGAGAAGAGGGTGACGCTAGCGGCACTCACATTGGTCAGAAGCGCTGACGTCAGCACGCGCCAATCTCCTCCTCTATCCCGGGCGCTGCCAAACTGACAGACACCGCAGGATCTTCGTCACAAGGAGCTCTTCCGTCTTCGTCATTTATGTGCACAAGTGGCGCGGATCCAGAGAGGAGGCGGCGCCGCGCAGCACCTACTAGGTAACAAAGCTGTAGTGCAGTATGAGAAGACGTGCAGAGAAGGCGAACGCTAGACACAGATTGGAAACGATGGCTACGTCAGCGCTCAGCTTCAAGTCAAGCTTGAGCCGCATGTTGACCAAATTGCCGTGTCCAATCTGTGCCCAGCGTTAGCCTTTTCTGATGTCGCCATCTCATTCAGCACTGCCGTTTCAATGCGAAAGCATCAACTTTCCCATGGAGCGAAGCCAATAAAGCCTGCGAAAAACGACAACTGAATTTTCATTGGCTGGGCGTTGTCTGAGCAGCGAAACGGCACCTAAATTCCCATTTGCTGCTACGCGTCATGTGGCTCCATTGGAACGGCGTCATCGTTGCTAACGAGCCAGCTTAAGTGCTGGTGGCGCAGTGGGAGGGGGAAATGCGGATATGGCTCTTGCCTGACATAAGGCCTAAAGTTAGGTTAGTCGTTACGCTTTGAGGTCTTACGTCGTCAACCGGTACGCGCAACTATTCGACATGAGGAAGGAGGCGGGTATCCGCTGGCCTGACGTTAGGCCTAACGTTAGGCATAACTTTACCATCTGAGGTCCAACATTCTCAACCGGTACCCGCAGCTAGGGCGAAGATGATGATGAATGGACACGTGATCTCAGCACGCGCCGCGCCGAGCTTCGCACTATCGGCGCCGCACCGAGCTTCGCGATCATGCCGCTGTCTCACCCAGCGGCGCAGCAGTCATCAGTCAGCCAGGGCGGTCCGTACGGCGCACCGCCGCTCTCCCTGCCGGCGCTGCGGCGACTTCTCCTCCTCTCGGCGCCGAGGAACATGGTGGCACCTGAAGCATCTATATCGTCGGCAGCCGCTATCTCGGCAGTAGCGAAACGTGGCCGTCCACACCAGTACACCGCAGACGAACTAAGGGAGCGAACGTTATTGCTTTCCAAGTGTCATGCTAACCCATTCCCTATGAATCCACCAATGAATATGTCTGGAATTTGTTTCATTCCAATGACTTTTTTTTGGCTCGTCACATCATTTCTTGAGTGTCCCAAGTCAGAGATGAAACGTGTTAACCGAAAAACCTGTCACCCTTTTGGCCATTTAGGCCCCAACGCGCCAGATGAGAGCCAAACTGCCAGCAGTGAAGCCGAGCTTTGGCACCTGTTTTTCTAATTAGGGTTGATACCCTGACTCTGGCCAGCGAAGGTCAAATTGGGCTCTACCTTGGCTTCGGGCTTTTAGGGCCGCGGAACTTCCCACACAAAAAGTGAATTTTGGCTGAAAAAACGGTGATACATCGGAGGTTACGCTAAATACTATTAGTTTGAAAGTTATTTGATGAGCTAGTATAGTATACACTACAGACACTGAAAAAACAAAGGACGATTACAACAGGCTGAAGTTGAGCTAGTTGGTACACACACAAAAAGCTTTTCACAGAAACCTCAGCTGCGAAAAAGGGCTTGCCATCTCTTTTCCTACTCCGCCCTTGTACATGTTCAGAAAAGATGATGCCCGTAAGTTTGGACAATGGCATATTAGATTTCTGAAGTTTTCGTTTATGCCCATGTTGGTCACACCTACTACGCAAACAAGTACCAGAAATCTCGAAATTTTTCCACTTATGATAAATCGTAGAAACTGTTGATTTTGAACATGTACAGTATTGTCCAAGCTATGTATTTCGAGTCAAAAATTCACAAACATGGCTCCTTTGACATTTTGTCTCAAGATTTCTGCGCCATTATCTAAACAAATTGAATAACTGCAACATTAAAACTCATGTCATATATTCGTATTAAAACTTTCTTTCGAATGATATATAAATAACTGCTTTATATAAAAAAAATTCAATTTTATGTCGCTCCAAACTTGTAAAGTACAAAGTCAAAAAATTTCAAGGTGTAATACAAAAATAACTAAAACCTCTCGAATTTTTGAAAATATATAGTGACATTTTTCCCCTGTGTGTTTTTTGTACTAGTCATAAAAAAAACGTGTTGCATCATTTTTTTTCCTTCGAAGTTACAGTGCTGCACAGTGCACCTTCCACGCCGGCATTTTATCCCCATGCCACGTAAGAGATTACCTTTCAATCCGGCGTATTTTAAGACTAGGTATTGTTTTGTGCTGTATTCGGGTATTGGTCTCAAGTTCAAGTATTCTACTAATTAAAACACTACCCGCGTTGCGTTTCCTATTTATTAATTCAACCAATAACTCTCTTTTGCCTTTTAAACTTACAAGTTCTAGGAGCTTTATATAAACTTTATCCACAACGGCGTGACGAAAACTATTTTAATCGCTGCTACATGTTTTTTTTTTTTTACAAAATATGGTAGAAAAGAAAATACAGCGGTGCAAATTATATGCTAATGCTTACACATATATCTGCGATGAAGTGGGAATGTTTGAGCTTAAGCTTCTTACACTGCTATTCATGCAGGTTGTACGTGCGACTGAACAAGGTAAACCTGCGAAATTGGAAACAGCGCGCAAAAAGACGAAGACAACGAGAGAAGAGCACAGGACAAGTCATGAACCAACTCGCTTGCATCGCCACCTTAATAAACCTGCGACTTCACTGGCAGACTTTCACTAAGGCGTCCGTTAAGATTAAGGATATTTGTAATTATTCGTGATCGTAAAATGTAAAAAAAGTAAAAATAAAAATAATAACCAGTAAAGTTATTGAGCGCACTATTTGCCCACGTTGGCAAGAGGGCGTGCTGAGAAGTCCGTCTTTTGTCCCTCTTCAAACCAGTCTGACGAATTCCGCGAAGCACTCACCTGTGCTGCCATAATTTTGACGAGTGCGAGACAAGCGGTCAACTCCCAATGTGTGGCTACAGATAGGAAATGCACGAACTGGAGAATTTCGCCCAATCCTCTTCGTAGAATTCACATCCAGATCTTACACACTGCGAAAATACCTCTGCTTTACCAGGCTTCTTTTTTCAGTTTACTAAGATAGTCAATGCAGAATGGGTCTAGGACTTTTCGATGTAGGGCGTTTCGGTGTAGGACGTTTCGGTGCGGACTTTTCGCTGCACGGACTTTTCGGTGCACGCACTTTTCGGTGCACGGACGTTTCGGTGCACAGACGTTTCGGTGCACGGACGTTTCGGTGTACGGACTTTTCGGTGCTCGGACATTTCGGTGCACGAACTTTTCGGTGCACTGACATTTCGGTGCACGGCCAATCAAAATCAGGAGTTTCTTTTTTGTTTTTTGTAAACGTAATAAGCACTATTCTAGCTAGAGATGCATTTTTCGCGCTTTATAATTTTGTAGACTTGGTCATACATTTACGGTCACTTACTAATATACAACCTGAGTGACTTTGCGTTGGCGCAGTACCATATTGTGTGAGGATTGGAGAAGCTGGACGTTATGGTTCGTTTGCCGGTGTATCTTTTCCAACGTACGCATTAGTCGCATCACATCGTGTTTACGCGTTGGGTCGACAGAGGCGTCCTTGGCGTCTTCTTTAAAGGTTTTTGGCTTTATGATTGGTAATCCGTGTAGGAAAGGCACCAACAGCAAGATGCTTGAGAACGTTGAAAATAACCCGAGTAAAAGTTAAGAAATTTCGCAGGACTTCGAGACCGCCTCCTTCCTGTGTCATTTTTCTTCCACAAAGTTTCCCATCTTTTACCAACGTCTCGGGTTATTTTTAAAATGAGCAACATCCACCAGCTCGCCTGCACACTCACCGTTTTTTTGTAGAGCTTGAGAAGTTGTTTATGTGTGATAGCTCAGAACAATTTGGAATATCTTGAAATGTGCGTGCACCGCGAAATCGTGTAACATCAATTGTTTAGCACACCTGACAGGAGAAATTAAAGTTCTTCCTATCCGTCACACGTCGCAAGGTTTCTAATATAAATCAAGACATAAAACAAATTAAAATTACCGGAGACTGTGGTAAAAAATGGGAAACGTCGTGGAAGAAAAAGGACACAGGAAGAAGGACGTCTGAAAGTTCCACGAAGTTTCCCACCTTTTACCCTAGTATCAGGTAAGTTTAAAGATTCTCAAACTTCTTGCTGTTGGGGCCTTTCCTACACAGATTACCAATAAATAACAAAGCCAATATCTTTACAGAAGACGCCGAGAAAGCCTGTGTCGACCCGAC